ATTCAGTATTCAATTTTTAATACTTAATTTTTAGTATTCAACTTTTAATTTTCAATTTTATCCAACTCTAAATAGTCCTCCTAATTAATGGGATCCCATAAAAAGGTAAGGTGCAATTATGAGCCTATGGAGTGGACTTATTTACTAATTACTAGTAAAACCATGCTCTAATTTTCAATGATAAATTTCTTATTATAAAAATAATTTTTTTAAAAATACTTATATTTTTCACATCATATTTCAATATAAACTAATATAAATAAATTAAAAAAAAACAAAAGAAAAGAAAAGAAAACAAATGACAACTATATACCATTTCTCAGTTCAAAAAAAAAAAAAAGGGTAAAAAAGTAAAATGGTGAAAAGGGACATACCAAGCACAAGCGCTCAATATGAACTTTGTTGATCTCATCACCATTCTCTTCACTAATATTGAGCAAAATATCGATGACATCATTTCCCTCCACACTTATCCTAAATCTCCTCACCAAGCTCAAGCATACTCCCAAAGTAGTCCGTCATCCGCCGACTTATCCCTTGCGGATCCATCTTGGCCACTGGGGAAAAAAATCCACCAAGTTGCTTTTCCCAACCTCCACCATTATATTCCATACCAACTCCTTAAAATCTCACTACAAGAAAAAGGCTTATATAACACGGAACTTTTTGCGACGACACTTATCTCGTCGCAACAAATGGTCTTTTGCGACAGCAGTTTACAGCGTCACTAATAAATAGCTTTTGTGATGGTAGTTACCCCGTCGCGAATGAGCATACAAGAAAATGTATGTTAAATATGGAAGTATTTGCGACGCCTTGTGTACCGTCGCAAAAAACAAATTTTTTGAGACGGAAAAAATTTGCTGTCACAAATAATAGACAAATTGTGACGGCCATTTTCCATCGCAAACAAACTCTTATTAAAACGGCATCGTTTTACTTGTTGAACTTATTATTTGTGACGTTTCCAATATGTCGTCGCAAAAAGTTATGTTAAATTTTGGATGTCCCGCTTCTTCAGCCCATTAGCGCTCGTTTTTTACAAAATCTCTAAAACTGTGAAGCAACCAAAACCCTTGAGGTTGAGATACATACACCAAACGCCAAGCACCAAAAAGAGGTCGCTTGCTCTCCCTCTCTCTCTCACAGTCACTCACCGTCGCTTAGTCACCGTCGTTTATTTTCGCCTTGCCTCTCATCGACATTCAAGTTCCTCTCTCTCTCTCGATTGATTTCACTGTTGTTCTAAGGCTTTTTTTTTTTTGGTTTTTTGATGCTATAGGATTTTGATTTCTATGAAATGAGTAAATGGGTTTTGATTTTTGTTTTAGATGTAGGGTTTTTCAAAACCCCTTTTATACTTTTGAAACCCTTCACGCTACACTCACTTATCCTCTCTTCTGTCAATGCTCATCTAGTGGGGTGAATAGGAATCTTTGAATATTTATGTGTTCTATGATGATGCCCTATAGAACGGTATTAGAAAATTTTGGTATGTTTCCCTTAATTTCGAAAACTTTCTTTGTTTTCCCTAATTTTTAAAACCCTAACAGTCCAAAATTTCAATTTGTCACATTCTAGTCCTAGCAAAGCAATGTAGAGTCCTGTCCGTGCACGTATATGTATTCACCACCTTCACCACATCTCCTAAATTTTTCTATTTTTTATATTTTTATATTTTTATTGGCTGTTGTGTTTCTGGTTCAAGTTCTAGACCCACTTTGATTTGTTTTGTTGTTTTTATGGACTATTGCGTTTCTTGTTCTAGTTCTAGACCCACTTTGATTTTGTTTTGTTGTTTTGTTTTTCTATTGGATATTCTATTGATTCAGTCCTTATGTTGGGGGTGTGTTGTAACGTTTGACAAAAAATAGCATAGAAAACATGAACCAGCTTAGATTACCCAAACTTGTAGGAATGGGCCATAATTTAAATGGGGTTTCATTGAAATTTGTAAATTTTAAAAAAGAGAACATGTAAGAGTTTTTGAATTAATTATAGGTATGTCAAAATTCTGGGAATAGATATTGATTATGGTTGTGTTCATTGCTTCTTGTTACATTAAACACCTGATGACATTTATATCTGGGCAGAACCTCATTATTTTCCTTCTCTTTTTTCCTTTTCTCCCCTTTATTTTTTTTCTAGCTCACTATTTCAGAATTTTATTTTTTTGTTAGGTCATTTTTTCTGTTAATTTTTTTCCTTTTTCTTCCAGGTTCTAGTTTTCTTCTCTTGTCCTTCATATTCTCTGATTTTTTGCTATGTTTTGTTGATTTTCTGCTTTGGTTTTCTCCTCTCTTCTGCTAGTTTACTGTTATCTTGAAATTGGAACAATTGTTGTGGAGTTCTCATGCATAAAAAGTTCCAAATTGAGCATAGCAAAGCTTAAAATGAGAAGTAGACCAAGCATATAAAGTATCTTGAGGGTTATCAAGTGTGCAACCTCGTTTTAAGGTTTCAAGAAAAACAAGTCATTCCTCTCTCTCTCTCTCTCTCTCTCTCTCTAAAATTTCTCTATCTAAAACTCCTTTGCACTTTCCCTTGATTGGTTGATTTTTAATTCATTTTTTATATGCATTTGTTTTCCCCTTTTTATATGTTACAGCACAAGCTTGTTTGCACTTGGGGAAACAAGTTTTATTTTCTTTTTCATCATACTGCTATTGCTTAATTAATCTAATGGGTTAGTGCAAATTAATTTATAGACATTATATTATTATCAATTCTTATTTTTATGAGTGATATTTTGTTAGTAAAGGAGTCTATGAATTGATTGGAATAAAAGAGAAGGGCTATTGAGACCAAGAAATCCCCCTACTTTGATGGCTTGTGTTGTGTGTGATATGGTGTGCCATTCCACACCAAGTAACACCCTTATTTAGAGAATTTGTTTTTTTGCTTTAATTCTAATATTATAATTTTTCATTGTATAATGTTGTAGTTAAGGTTAACTCAATGAGTTGGTTAGGATGTATTATAACCAAAAAATATTAGATTGATCTTTCATGTAAAGATAGTGGTTATTGTGCGAATCCATATAGTAGGTGGAAAAAATTGACAAATTCATCTAGATTTAGTGACAAGTACCATTTTCACAAGAAAAAATAAAATATGGAGCTGTTTAGGCAGCCTATTGGAAGGGTGCAGGGACCCTGCTCACCCAGGTTGGACAATTGTTGATTGAATTTCAAAATGTTGATGTATGCAGCTAATAATGATAATGATGATCATAAATGAGCATGACTTTGTTTTTTGTATGTTGCAACTGAATTTTTATCATGGATTTTGAATTTCTTTCTATTTAAAGGTTGTAGGAATTTTCAAGATGGTGGTCCTTCCAATCCTAGGCCAACTTGCTGATAAGTATGGGCGAAAACCACTGCTCATTCTCACTTTATCTATAACTATAGTCCCTTTTGGTATGTTTTCTATGAACATTTGTATATTGACCAAAACTTTATGTTGAAGAATTCCAACTGCATTTGATGTTGGTATCTGTATTTAGCTGTGAAAATTTCCTTCGGTATAAACTAGAGTAGTGATACTTGAAAGCTAAGAATCACAGATATTTCTATAGAAGAGGTTTGTCATGTTGTACATGTATATTGGACATGACACTTCTGTATATTAATGTTCTGCAATTATTTTCCATTTTTTATAGTGCAATTGTTTCATGTTGTTACATGAATGATGATTTTTAAGTTATGGAATATATGGCATTTTAATTTTAACTAATGTTATGTTGCTTTTATTTTACTTTTGAACAAGCATCATAGGCATATCATGTCCGGCATTTTTTTTTTTTTTGGAAATCGTCGTGTCGATTGTCCTTGTTTGTGTCACTTAGGTTGAAAGTTAAATATTGATTAGTTCTTTGTTAAGCTTAATTCTTTATTTTCATTTTCAACTGTTCCAATAGACAAGCACCATCTTAGACAGCCCTTAGCTCTAAAGAGACTCTAATTTAACTGAAAATTGAATCAAGAAAAAATTTATTGAAAGTAAGACATGTTGCAGAGCTTCTGTTATGTCTTTATCATCATCATTCCAACCGAAGGACTGTGTACGATAAGACATTTGTGGTTTCTAATTGATGCCAATTTTCAAGCTTCATGAGTGACACATGATAATTGGCAGATGCAGCGTGGCCCAGATGTCAGGACAATATGCACAAAACATATGGTTTTCCTTCTAATGAACATTTTATGTGCCATAATGTGTTAATTAACTTATTTTAATTCAAACGCCTGAAGTTAATGACTTGGTTTCAAAGAGTTTATGTTTTCAAATTGATTGATGATTATTTCCAGTAGGCACATGTGAGTATATTATGATGTTCAAATTACCACATTGATTCATAATGATCACTTTGCTCACTTTCCTATGTTGCTGTTTCAGTTTTGCTTGCTATCAATGAGTCAAAGGCCTCTGTTTATGCTTATTATGTTCTTCGTACAATTTCATACATTATAAGTCAAGGGAGTATTTTCTACATTTTTGTTGCTTATGTGATAAGGGTTCTTCCTCAATGCTAATTAACAAAAACATTATAACAAGTGTGAGGTTATTTGAAATCACATTTTCCCTCTCTGGCAGGCAGATGTTGTCAAAGAAGATACGAGGGCAGCATTATTCAGTTAGATTGCTGGATCTTTTCTTTCTCACATGTATTGGGGAATGTCCTTGCACGTTTTCTGCCTGAAGATTTCATTTTTGAGGTATGTTGGTGCTGTGACTTTCAACATTTTTATGGTGAATCTCTTAATCATCCTCATATTGCTTTGGTCCTAATAATGCTTCTTGTTTCAAGTTTCAATTACTTTGTTAGTCTTTTGTCCGCTCTACATGCACCTATTTCTGGTTGAGACAGTCCAATCAACTCCAAGACATCGCCAACATGCTCCTTGGTTGCACAAGGCATTGAAGATTGTCCAGGAATGATACAATTCAATGAGGCATGTAGAAACTATTGTTGTAAGCAGGTGCTTTTATCTGCAAACCATCAGTGATGCTTTTAATGCCCAGTCCCAACTAATTTTTTCCAGATCTTATGGTGACATGCAATTGTTATTCAAGTCCCTTTGCTACCTCTGCAGTACTATCTGAAGGCACCCTTTGGTTTCAACAAAAATCAATTTTCAGAAGTTTTGATGACGATGGGAATAGGATAAATTGTTTCCCAGGTATTCTTTCTAAAGATCATTTTCTTTTCTTTTGTTACTTTAATAGAAGAAGCCCATTAACTCTACTTTTTGAAATGTTCTTTAAATCTAGAGTTTCTCTACTCACCATATGTTTCTTATCATGGCATTGTTTCAAGATTCTGATTCTTCCTCTCATCAATCCATTTGTTGGAGAGAAACTGATACTTTGCACAGCCTTACTTTCATCAATAGCCTATGTGAGTTGTCCTTTATTTACTTAATTTAACTCCCTGCAGCTCTGGACTTAATCATAGTTGAAAGTATGTATAAATTTTATCTCATGGAAGTGTTTTATTTATTATTTATTTATTTTTATTTTAAAATGCACAGGCATTGTTTTATGGCTTGGCATAGGCTTCTTGGGTATGTACTCTTATATAATAAATGTGTAGTTAACATCAATTTTGAAACTACATTCTGGGTAATTACATGTTCCACCGTTAAACTTCCTCTTAACATTTCACTTTAGTCTGTCATTTCTAGTTGAGACGACATACATCATTATTGTAATTTAGGTTCTAATTCCTTGCAAAAAAATACAAGAAAATTTATTTTCTCACGAAAGTTGCTATATGTTATAACTTTCTCTCAAAAAAAATCTTAACCAAACACAAACTAAAAAAATAAATTTTCGTTTGAGGTGTTGACGCCTCAAAATCACCAAACGGCGTTGGAGTAGGACGAAACTTGGCATGCACAATTACCTAGGCACGAGAGACTTGTGGGAGAAGATGGGACTCGAATCGGATTCCCGGTTTGGGAGTTAGAGCTGAATTTCACTCTCGACAAACTAGTTTCTTAAAAAACCTAGAAATCGAGGTGTTAACGCACCAAAATCACCAAATGGTGTCGGAGTAGCACAAACATTTGCACACACAACCGCCTAGGCACGGGAGACTTGTGGGAGAAGACGGGACTCGAATCGAGTTCCCGGTTTGGGAGTTAGAGCCGAATTTCACTCTTAAGAAACAAACTAGTTTCTTAAGAAACTTATAATTTGAGGTGTTAATGCCGCAAAATCACCAAACAGCGTCAAAGTAGCATGAAACTTGACACACACAACCGCCTAGGCACAAGAGACTTGTGGGAGAAGACGGGACTCGAATCGAATTCCCGGTTTGGGAGTTAGAGCCAGATTTCATTCTAGACAAACTAGTTTCTTAAAAAAAAACTTCAAATTCGAGGTGTTAACACACCAAAATCACCAAATGGTGTCGGAGTAGCACGAAACTTGGTACACACAACCACCTAGGCACGAGAGACTTGTGGGAGAAGACGGGACTCGAATCGAGTTCCCGGTTTAGGAGTTAGAGCCAGATTTCACTCTTAAGAAACAAACTAGTTTCTTAAGAAATTTATAATTTGAGGTGTTAATGCTCTAAAATCACCAAATGGCGTCCGAGTAGCACGAAACTTGGCACACATGACCGCCTAGGCACGAGAGACTTGTGGGAGAAGATGGGTCTCGAATTGGATTCCCGGTTTGGGAGTTAGAGCCGGATTTCACTCTAGACAAACTAGTTTCTTAAAAAACATAAAATTTGAGGTCTTAATGGACCAAAATCACCAAATGGCTTCAGTGTAGCACGAAAATTGGCACACACGACCGCCTAGGCACGAGAGACTCGTGGGAGAAGATGGGACTCGAATCGGGTTCCTGGTTTGGGAGTTAGAGCCGGATTAACAAACTAGTTTCTTAAAAAACTTAGAATTCGATGTGTTAACGCACAAAAATCACCAAACGGCATCTGAGTGGCACGAAACTTGGCACACATGACCTCCTAGGCACGAGAGACTTGTGGGAGAAGAGGGGACTCGAATCGGGTTCTCGGTTTGGGAGGTAGAGCCGGATTTCACTCTTAAGAAACAAATTAGTTTCTTAAGAAATTTATAATTTGAGGTGTTAATGCCCCAAAATCACCAAACAGCGTTGAAATAGCATGAAACTTGGCACACACGACAACCTAGGCATGAGAGACTTGTGGGGGAAGATCAGACTTGAATTGGATTCCCGGTTTGGGAGTTAGAGCCGGATTTCACTCTAGACAAACTAGTTTCTTAAAAAACTTAGAATTCGAGGTGTTAACGCACCAAAATCACCAAAAGGCATCGGAGTAGCACGAAATTTGGCACACACAACTGCCTAGACATGAGAAACTTGTGGGAGAAGACGAGACTCGAATCGGATTCCCGATTTAGAAGTTAGAGCTAGATTTCACTCCTAAGAAACAAATTAGTTTCTTAAGAAATTTATAATTTGAGGTGTTAATGTCCCAAAATCACCAAACGGCGTCGGAGTAGCACGAAACTTGTCACACACAACCGCCTAGGTACGAGAGACTTGTGGGAGAAGTCAGGACTCAAATCGGATTCCCAGTTTGGGAATTAGAGTCAGATTTCACTCTTGACAAACTAGTTTCTTAAGAAACTTAGAATTCTTGGGGTTAACGCCCCAAAATCATCAAACGACGTCAAAGTAGCACGAAACTTGGCACACACAACTGCCTAGGCATGAGAGACTTGTGGGAGAAGACGGGACTGGAATCGGGTTCCTGGTTTGGGAGTTAGAGCCGAATTTCGGTCTAGTCAAAGTTATTTACTTAATTATCTTTGTAATTGTATAGTAATTAAATTTTTATGTTTTTTTTTGTAATTAACATATTAACACATAATTATATTGTTATTAAATATATTTAGTTTTTATTTTCAGATATTTCCCGAGTAGGAGTTTGCTTCTTGTGGAATGTGTGTCTGTAAAGGATGCCACTAACTTTTGTTTTTGTTACTCACGGAGAATGATGAGCAAAAATTGTAATTTTAGTTTATGTTATTTTGAATTATGAACAATATTATGTATTTAAACATTATATATGTATTATGGAATATTATATAATGGGGTAATTTTGTTGATGTGTAGTTATGAATGCAAGAATATTTTTATTATGGAGAAATTATTTTTTCTATATAGGAATTTTTATATTATCTGTCGCAAAAAATAGAAATTTTATTATTTAAAATAAAAATTTTATTATTTTTTAATATTTTTTGCGACGGCATTACACTGTCGCAAAAATAGAAAATTTCATATTTTTTATTTTTTTTGCAACGGCACCACACCGTCGCAAAAACAAGAAATTTAAATATTTTTAATAATTAATTTGCATTTTTTTTTGGCGACGGCACCACACCGTCGCAAAAAATATTAGAATCATTGGCGACAGTGGGCATGCCGTTATAAAAAATAAATAAAACCATTCGCGATGACATTTTTTGCCGTCTCAAATAAAACTTTTAGTGACAGTAAAAAGGAGTTGTCGCAAAAGGTAACAATTGCCTTCACAATAAAAAGGCGATGGCACAATGCTGTCGCTAAAAATTTTTTGCAACGCCCTCTGTTGTGACCCCCCATTTGCTATCGCTAAAAGTCATTTGTCGTCGCTAAGAATTTTTTAAGACGACATTAAGAGTATTAGCGACGGCACTGTACCATCGCAAAAAATCAAATTTTTTGTAGTGTCCTTACCCATATCCTCTCTCGGGTCCACCAAATCCTCTGAAAAAATAGTATTCGACAACACATTAAAAAAAAAGTGTTTATACCTAGGTAAAGTTTTAAAAAATTTAAAATTAATTTAAAGTGTTTTAAAATTGATAAAAAATATATATATCTCATATTCTTTCTCCTTTATGTATTTTTCTTTTATAACTCATCCTTGAAAAATAGATACATCCAAGTCCAGCATAACAAATCAAATGAAATTAAAATAAGAGTTGAGTGGGAAGCACTTTAAATCTAGTTTATACATAAATGAGCAAAGCTTTTATAGGGCTAGACTTGCTGTCACAAAGGTGTTTTGGCATTTACCCAAGCATAAAAGGAAATCACTTTGCCACACGCGAATTGAAGTACCAAAACAATAATGCTATAGTAACACCAATTTTTTATCATATTTTTTTAATATTATTTCTTACATGATAGATAATCATTGTATTAATAAGATACATAAGTCATAAAATTTATTAAACTACTATAGTAATTGTGCGTACCAGATTCTGCAGTAGATGAAAGTGGATCAGGGCTCTGTTCTCGGTTGGACTATCCAAGGACTGAGGTTCCTGCCACAAGAAGCACCGTTAGAGCTGCCCAGCCGGGGTTGGCTAGATAACCCCTCCGGTGTGGGAATTAGTGATCAGAGAAGAAGTGTATATTGAGTTTATATCTCAGTGTGGTTTTGCTTGGAATAGTTCAGTTCCATTTCCAATTACCTTCAATGTGAAGTTCATGTTGTATATATAGTGTTATGTGCTTGCTTCTCAAGGTGGTTCCATAGAGCTTAGATGCTGCCAAGTGTCCTTTTTGCATTGTTCAAGATGGGGGACCACTTGGTAGTTATCATTGAATGCATATACTCATTGTAGTCATGCTGATAACAAACCACATTCCTTTGGTTCAACAACTTCCTTGATTTTAGGTGTAGGGGACCAGCTGAGGTGGCAACTTGCACATGCACACATTCACAACTTCCACGTTTCCCTGCGAGGTTTCCTCGGCTCGATACCGTTGTGGCTTAGCTCGGCATCATTATGCCTTGTCTCGGCCTTTTACTAGGTCATTCATAGAGATGGGCTGATCCATTCAGATATCCTTGTATGGGCTCGGCCCATTTCTGTTCGGCCCAAAGGTTCGGTCCTGCAGCTCGGCCTAGCCCAGCGTCGTAGCTGGATTAGCCTTTCCACTGCGGGTTGGGTCCAAGTGCTTGAGGACTTGGATAGACTGTTGATCATGGAGTTTGGATCAATTGGCTTGTCCATATATTCATCTAATCCATTTGAACTTGGGCTTTATTGGATTGGGCTGGCCCAAGACTTGGATCCGACCCATTTCATATTCAGCCCCTTGTAGACGTGTCCGAACGTCCCGAGAAAATCCCGTTTTGTTCATTAGGCTCACTACAGTTCAGACTCAATGTCGCGGTTCTGAATCTAATCTCACAAAGTGCAATGCAAGATCGATAAATCACCAAAGAGTCCAAATCCGGCAAATCGTTTTGAAAAACTAATTTTTAGAAAGAAGTGACAAGCATGGACTGCTTTGCCAGATACAGAGTCGCCACCTAAATTTTTTATTTTGGGGGAATTTAGGAAACCCTGACTCGTGCCTAAGGCCACGTGCCCCTCATCACCAAAGTGGCCTCGGCTCGGGAACTTGGGTACGAGAGGGGAAGGTCAAGCAATGAGCACCCCCGCTCGCCCAATCAAAGATCGGCCACTACTAAACATGATATCTCGTTTTTGAAAACACATGTGTTCTTATTTCGATTATTATCTAGAATTACTATGTGATGCGCACAACACACAAGTATAGACTGGATCCCCTGAGTTGGAACAAAACATCTCATGTTTGTTTTTGAAAACGGTTTGCTACTCGCGAGTAAGCTAAAATGCGGATTTTGCCACCCTCAAGTGGGCTTAAGAAAACATGGTGATTTGTCACTCTCAAGTGGGCTTAAAACTCGCAATCAATGAATTGTTCCAATTCAAGTAATCCAACCTTCACCCACAGGCATTCAGGCAGTTATATCACATAAGCAAATAGCCTCATGGTAAGCATGCTATCATGGCAGTCACTCACACACATGCAAGGATTCTAAAGCATAAATACTTACCGAGTACTCCGAGCCAAAACAAAAGCTATGTTAGAAATCAATGCATGATCCTAGCTATGTTAAGATGGCTAATGCAACACATGCAAAATGCAACTAAGATAGACTCAGCTATTCTAAAATGTCATATGAGATGCTACAGATAACATGTATTCAACTTGGAATTGAAATACAATGCAGTTAGTATGATGCGCCGAGCCCGGTGCATGCAAGACAGATGAATGAATGCAAACATGAGAAGCATAA